TGCTACAGCATGTCCAGATTTTTGCTTCATCTCTCACCTTGCGTGCGTGTATTTCACTTTAAATATGCTGAATAGATCTATTTTAATCTAGAAGCTTTCTCACATGCACTGAAATGCAAGTAGAATCAGAGTTGTGGCATGAAAGCGGGGAGATGACTTTATCTCTGTTATAGGCTATTTAGAAGTAAGACCTGTGTTGGTGTGGCAGTATTGTGTGGTGAAAGCTGTGACAGCAGAAACATGTGAACATCCCTTAAATCTGCTTTTGTATATTCCATGCTGAGGCTGGAGAGGGGACTAATGTGCTGCCAAAAGAGCAGGTGATGCAGGTGGAGAGTGTACCATGGCTGGGACTTTGCTGAGTTGGGGGGGGGAGCATCACCCACTCTGGCAAGCAGGAGCAACATGGGCCTGGGATGATGGGGCAGCAGAGGCAAAAGCTTGCTAATGGCAGATTTTAACAGTCACTTTGGGAACTACTTGTGATTTTAAGTGCACGTTCTGCTGGACTAGACATCTTGGGAGAATGTTCCCTAACGGTCTTCCGGTTATTGGCCTGTGTTTTCAAGTGAATTCAGCACGGTGCAGCTGGCCCTCAATAGTGAAAGTCACTTTTTCACAGAAGGATGGTGGTGCAAACTGCCTCTTCTGGAGCAGCACATGGCAAAATACCTCATTGCACCCTAGAAAGGATCACAATGACTATTCCTTCAGCCTTTGACCTCCCTGTTGAAATTGAGAATTGAGACTATGATTTAGACCCACATTGAGAGCACCACTTCATGTCATATAAGTCAGGAGACTATGTCCAAAATGCAAGGAATGATGTTCAGTGACCAGCTGGAAAGGTAAACCACGGGGAAAAAATGTAGCTCGTTACTTTCCCTGCAGCCACCTGGTGTTCCAGGAAGAGATAACATGTAACGTCCTTAACAGGGTACAAGAACTTTGAAGTAGGTCATATCTGTAGCATAAATGCTTGATAATGATTCTTAATAACAAATCCTTGATAACTATCCAAAGGCCTTAGTCCACATTTGGATGATTACATAATGAATTTTATGGTTACATAAAAAAAATAATGTGTTAAAAAGATGTTTTTGATTTTATAATTAGAAGAAATAAAAATAGATTTCCAAATTCTGTCCTTTTGCAGTCCTAATATTCATGTTAAAACAACTATTTTTAAATTCCTTAACCAACAAAATAAACCAATGCAGATTGCTGCTAATAGCCTAATGGTAATGTCCTAAAGGACCCATTTTGTGATGTATCATACAGACACAACATAAGTTTTTGACAAGGGGCAAAATCTCAGGATTTTGAGCTCATCTGAGGCTGAAATAGGCCCCCCCCGCATATGAACACCATTTCAGTGATGGATTTTTGCTTTAAATTCCCTCTGCTAGATGGCTAAAACTTCTATTTCCACAGGCTTATGTACAGGGCTTGAGTATGCAGCATGGAGAAATTAGCGCTGGGGAACCACTGAAACCTGAATGCCTTCCGAATGCCTTTTCCAGGCTACATGTTAACTCACATTTTGATGTAATCTGATAATAATGTGAAAAAAGTCGAATGGCCACAGGCTGTATGAAACGAAGTCACGGGTCATGCATTCCCCAGCTGTGGTGCAAAGGAAATGACTGATAAAAATATTTTTTCTAGCTGACCTCCGGCTTACCTTTGTGTGCCAAAGAATTTCCGGCTAATTCCCGTCTAAAGCTTTCTTGCAGCTACAGCCTATTCCTAGAATCTTCTGTGTTGAAAAATATGGACTCCATCTGAGCCTGTTTATTGATGCACTTTAGATAAAGAATAAATGAAAGCTTTGTTCTAGATATGCAAGTAGTGCACCTTAAAAGAAAGTAAATTGCTCTGTTCCTGTGTTGGGATAGAACAGCACTTGGCATTTGGATGGCTCATTATCAGAGAAACTACTTTTTCCCTGTACCACTGCAAAGACGTACTTGGGGACAGATTTGTAAGGGGCTCGCTCTGCAGTGCTCGCTCTTGCAGTAGCAAGTATTTGGACACTGAGCAGCCTAATGCCATTCAGAAACCTGTGTCTGCTGCTTAAGCTCTGTGTGAGGAGTCTGACCCCTGGGATATAGATTCACAAAGCTGGAAAGGTGCATGAGATGATAGTTTATTAAGACATAAACTCTGAGGGGGGGACTGGGCTTAAACAGCATCCTTCACTGAGAAAAGGAACCCAATACTTGGGTGAAGGGCTTAAGTGGATTAAGTCACGTTCATGTTCATCTTTCTCATTGTTTTACAATTAAGAAAAATAGCAGTGCTGCCCCACTCTTGCTGTCCTTGGTTAGAACATAAAAGACTAAAGTTCAAAACAGGACAAGAACACCCACACCCTTTTATATACAGCATCTCTGCTTTCATGTGTCAGCCTTTGACCAACTACAGCTTTGACCAACTAGACAAGGCCTAAAATAAATTCCCTCTTTGGCCTGAGATGAAGGGAAGACTGCTCTCACTTTTATGCTGATCCTCCATTTTTGTGGGGACTTGTCTCCTGCCCCAAGAAGCCATGTAACTCTGCAGATGACCACAAAGTTCATTGAACCAGGAAACAAGAGGAGTGAGTTTGGGTACTCTATTGATAAGCCACGCAGCTGAGCTGGGACCAGTTGGGTTCTGGCAGTGCTTCCCAAAAAAGAAGAACATTTCTCTGTTTCTGTGTTTTGTTTTGTTTCTATGTTATACTCCTTTATTACCCAAAATTAGCCACAGCAGACAGGAGATGTATTTTTACTCTTCAAGATAATGAAGAAACTACCTTTCCAACATAATGCAGGTTATGCACAAGGAATTCAAGGCTGAAATGTGTGAGTCATGCCCAGTGTTTGAAAGAAGGTGAAAGCTGCTTACCTTCAGGACAGGATCGCAGGAGGTGTGGATCCCACAGCCCCTTCCCATAGCTCCACAGGTCTGAAGGGGAGTGGGATTCAGATGCTTCTCTCTTTTCTGTGCGTCCTGCTGGATAGGTTACACAAGCCTCCATATCTGTTGACGTACACACTGGCAGTATGCAATCTAGTCATAAACAGCATCTAAGCATGGATTTTTTTTTTTTTTTGCAGATCTCATTGTTTTTTGAATGCTTGATTAAATTAACTGAAGTGGGAAAAATATTGGAATTTTTTCTTACAAATATAGCCCTTAAAAAGGATTTAAACACAGGCTAATGTGAGCGGTAAATGCCTTGTGTCCCTTTCCCAAAGTGAAATTTCCCTGAAATTAAAAGACACAAGAAGTCTGTTTCCATAATTTATTAGTACAAACAATGCCTACACAAGACTGTATATTGTTTGAAGACTGCAGTAGATTTCTAATTTAACAACTCTGTAACAAAATTTAACTAAATTTGACATTTATGAAAATATAAATCTCTGATTGGGTAGGTTTTCCCAACAATACAAAGTTTACATAAAAACATTCAATATGATCTATTAGTTGCAAACAAGTTAGGAAAAATCATTCAAGTCACTTAATATACTATATTGGCTTTTACACTGAACATTCACACACTACATTAAGTTCTAGCTTAGCATTCATTTCTTGGAAACTTGTGGCATGGAGTTCTGATTTTAAAAATAAAATTGTTTTGTTTAAATAATTTGAAAATATTTCCACAGGTGTGCCATCTTTAAGATATGTAAGGATGAAGAAATCTTCTTATCCTTTCAGATGCTGTCCAATATTTTTTTTTTTACTTGGGCAAAATGTTGTGGTTTTTTTTTTTTTTTAAGCATTTGTCATTAAATTTCACAATTTCTGCCTTAAAATTGGTAAAACTGTAAAAAAGACTCAGAACAGTTCTAAAGCAGAAAGTGAATCTTTTAAGTATGTGGAAGTAAGAAAAACCCATTACAAACTGGAGCAGTAAAGGACCTTTGGACAGCCTTTACATTTAGAGTATTTCAGCACATATACAGACAGTCCCAGAGTGTTTGGTCATATGATCTGTATTTATCATGGGAAAGAACAGAAATGATAGTAAGGCAAATTTATCAAGATTAATACATGGCATGTCTGAAAACTTTCTCTTAAGATTACTTTGGAGACATAGGAGATACTTTAGATTTTCTTACAACCAAATGGATAGCAACCTTTTAACAAGAAATTAATGTGTTAAAATGTTCATCTGCAACACCCTTGCTCTTTAAAAAGTTGTCATTACGACCTGTACCAATACACACTGTGAAGATGAAAAAATTCCCTGAAATAAAACCCCAAACCCTATTTTCCTTTTACGACCTAGGTTTTTATCATTTTTTATCACAATACAGAAACCTGAAATCCCAGCATGCAATTAGAAAAAAAAATATCTTTCAGTCCATTCGTTGAAGTGAACAAATATCACCTCACATGTTGACACGTTTGCAACTAACTGGCACCTACTCCTTTCAACCCAAAGATTGATCCCAATTTAAAAAAAAAAGTATTTTTTAAATGATGATGGAATGTATCAAGTGTTCCAGGTTGGCAGGTGACATCTTGTCATTGCACCATCAAGCAGAAAAACACATTTTTGCAAGTGGGTATCAAGTTGGCTGTTAGCTACAGACCCATCCAGGCGACTTGGGATATAAAATAGTAGTCTGAGTCTGACTCTTCTCACTGATCACGTGGAGCTTTAGTTCTAGTTAAAACAGTTTTTCAATCCCAGATGAGATCACCTAACTTCTCTAATAGCATAACAATTTTGATAGTATTGCTAGAAATTTTTAATCAAGGCCCTGGTGAAATCCTGGACCGAACCTTGTATTCCGAAATTTAAAAAAACCCTGCAGCCCATTTCTTCATGTTTGCTTTATGTTTACATAAATGTAAGAATATTTGTCAAGGAAAAAACAGCTGGTCTGCCCTCTACTGTTTCTGTCTTCCAAGAAATACACTGATTTTTATGTGAATTCAGAAGACAAATCTATGCACGTATACTAATTATTCATACTAATATTCATACAGACGGTTACTCAGTTGTCAGCAGCAAAACTGTGTCCTCTGCAGTCTATGGCTGAGCACACTTTCTCATAGCAATAGTTGTGTTTTTTGGTTGGTGTTGCTTCACTCACCTCAGGCTCTGTAACTGTAATGGGGCTATCCCTTGCAAATACTTCTGTTGATTCCCTCCAAATGCAATCTGCAGTCACTTTGAAACTATAATTGTGACATTTTGGCCTAATCACTTGTGTTGTGTTGTTGAAAATCTGACGGCTGTTTGAAGTAGCAATTTTGATTTTCAGTGCAGCGTCGACTCGATCCACTACAGTGTAAGTACCTATACTTCCGTCATCAAATCCAATAATAATATTTAAATGTCTCTGTGAGAGTGCAAGAAAAGTGGGAGTTTTATAAAGAGAACAGGCACCAATGTTTTTGCCATCTGCTAGCCTCATTACTATTAAGCTAGAGACCGCACCATTATCATCATCTTCTTCACTGCGAAAACAGATGTACACAAGATAGCGGCCATCACGAGACAGCCTCTGCCGCCAGATGACACCTGGAGCGTGAACCACACGAAGTTTTCCACTGTATAGATCAAGCACATTGATGTTCTCATCACCACAGGTTATAATTCCTAGCTTCCCATTTGGGGATATTTCAAAGTCTTCTAAATTTTTTAAAAAATTAGTAGGCAATTGTACGCGTCTGCAGATGACTTCATCTGTTAGGCTCCAGATGTTCACAGTTTCAGTTGATGTTATAAATACTATAATATCTGGGCAGTCTGGTATCAGCTTAATATCCACAATGCTTGCACCATCATCACAGCAAAACTTCTTGGTTATACTGCCTGTCCAGAGACTCACTGCCAACACTTTATTCTTTGCCATTCCAACTACGAATGTATTTGCAGTTGTTATAAATGCATTCTGTAAGGCAACTAAAATATTGCAAACCCTATGTCCTGTAGCCAGTCGCCAAACTCTGGATGCATTTTGCTCGCAGAGAGAGACTACAAATTGATCGTTATGAGTAATCATTAGCTCTGAGATTTTTTGTCCATTAATGCGAAAGATATTTTCACCACTAACTGTGTGCCATACGTACTGGCTGCATTTATCATCTGATGTAACCATTATCTCTCCAGAAGAGGTCAGCACACAGTTTTCAACAATACCTTCATGCTTGAACACAGCTTCAATAAATCCAGTGCTGAAGTTCCACTTATGGACAGAATCTGATCCATCCAATGTGTAAATCAATTCACCTCTGGCTGGCAACACCAGTCTTTGGATAGGCTTGCCAGATTTGTCAATATTGGACATAGCAGTTATGATGTCTATATCCCAAATAGAAAGGACACCACTGGTAGATAAGGATAGCAGCATGTTATGATGATTTGATTTAATTAGCCTGACTATAGTTCCTGAGATTTCCTGTAAGCTTGCCATACACTGTCCCGTATCTCTTCTCCAAAAAAAAATGGCTGAGGTATTTTCCATTGAAGCAATTATACAGTTGCCATTTTTGGACAACACGGCAGATATAAAGTGCTCATTGTGTTTAGCTCTAAACTTTTCAGCCACCTTCCACACATGCGTGTCAAGAAGTTCAATGCTGACAGCCTTACAAATTAAAATTGCACTTTGGTCTTCAGAAAGCTCTATGCTGACAACTTCACTGTCCTCTCTCCTGCAGTCAAAGTCATCCGTAAGCTGGGGATTCACGATTTCCTCCGTATTCCAAACAGAGAGGCTACCCTCGTTATCCACCATCACCATTTCTTGGGCTGTGTCCAGAATGAGAAGGAATTTCACAAATCCACCAGAAAATTCAGAGGTCACAGTGGCCAGCTTCTCTCCGCTGCCCAAGTGAAAAATGGTTGCAGTGTTCAAATACTGTCCGCAGAACGCATAAACTCCGTCGGGAGAACACTGCACACAGGTCACTTCGTACCAGCAGTGGAAGTGATAGAGAGGCCAACCATAAAGCAGATCTATTACAGTAACATCTTTGCTGGCCTCCAGCCAAGCAAGCGCATGGTTGACTGACAATGTAAATCCATTTATAAAACTGGAGCCCCCCCCAGTTCCACAATGTTTTGATCCCTTAATTTCCACCTCAGACAGAAGACAGGAATTTATGTTGTCATATATCAAAAGAGTATTTTTTGTTGTAGCCACTACAAGATACTTTTCATCACTAGTAAGCTTCATCCCTAAGATAACAGATGGAGCTGTTGTAATCTGTCTTAGTAACTGGCGGGTCTCTACATCCCAAGTGCTGATAGAACCATTTTCTAAAGCAGCAATAATTGTGCTGGGATTAAAAGTAGGCAAAATCTCGGTGACGTGCATGCAGCTGGATGACAGAGGCAGGCGCTCAGGGCTGTAAGTCACATCCATGGAGGAATGCAGAGGGACAATAGAGCAGTACTTGGGTCCATCCTTGTCACATTCTAAGAGGAGATGTCTGAGTTTGGGCAATGAACTTACTACTGGGAGAAGCCTCTGCTGCAATTCAGCAGAGAGCGAACCTGGGTATTTTACTACTTTGAATTTTATACTGCGGAGGGTACTGGCCAGAAATTTCAGCTCCTTTTCTTGCGAGCAGGTGTAAGCCAGTTCTATGTCAGAAAGGGCTTTATCAAACTGCCCTATTCTAATCATGGTGTACAGCCAGCTGAAGTTCATGATGACTCCATACAGAAGATCATCTGTTCTTCCACATCTTGTCAAGTGATGGATAAGCTCTGTCATTTTTCTGTGATTGATAAAAAAGATGTCAGGCTCTAATGGATTACACTGAAAGACCCATGGCTGATCGGGTGCCTGCCTGTCAAAAGCGATCTGATCCATGCAGTGCTTTTCATCCTCGTTCAGGCCTCTACTGTTATGGTCAGGACAACCATTCAGATATTGGTCATTGCTGTAAAAAGGTTTTCTTCGTCCACCTGACCAAATACCAAGGAAATACTCTGCCATCACTGTGTGCATTTCATGCAAATCTTCTTCATTGTCCAGATACAATTTCTGGGCAATTATATGCAAATGCCTATTTGCCCATAGAAGCAGCGTTACATTTTTTACCTGTCGCTCTATTAAGTACCCCTGTAAGCCCTCCTTAAGCCTTGCAATGTATATATATGGAACTCTCAGTGGATTACTTTCTCTGACACTCTCACTCAGTTCATACATAACACTGTTGTCAAGGGCTAAAATATCTTCCAGTTCCATTTCACTCAGGCCAGATTTGGACATAGTGATGTAGCCAAGTGCTCTTGACAATAGTCTTGATCCACACTTGTTTTCCAATGACCAAAACAACTGCTCTATGCTTTCATGAACAGTGACACAAAGGGAGGACTCATCCACATCTTTGTGAGATCTCCAGTTCCTGACCTCTCTGAAGGTTAAGTTCACGAACATTGGCAGTGTGCACTTAGAGAATGCTTCGTTGACATAGATTTGTTGCCCTGATGTTACTTTTCTTTTAACTCGCAGCAGCTGATGTTTCAGTACTTGGCTACACATCTTTCTGTCCCTTGCAGTCAATTCAATGTAGCTGTCTTCTTCATGAATAAGGCACCTCAGTTTTTGCAGGATCCCATGCTTGTTTGGCAGTGTTGACAAAATTATCCGTACTGAACGGGGAAGGTGAATGGGAAGCCACCAGAGCTTCCTACCATCATCACTATCTGTTAGCTGTTCCAGGGCATCAAATATTATCACCAGTGGCCTGTGGAATGAAGACTCATTCAAGAGATTGATGAACAAGTCCCGAAGGTCATGAATCTTTTTTGGGTAACTTTGTACAAGGCAACGATAGTTGACTGCTAATTGTTCACAAATGCTTTGAAGTATATTCTTCAGATCTGTACTTGCTTCAGTGGATCCCAAAAATCTTACAACTACCACAGGGTCAGAATCTGGTCCCATCTCTTCTTGCAACCAGGAATAGGCCTAGAATTTAGAGCATAATTTAGTTAATACCTAAATGAAGCACAGTAACAGAGTTTATAAATAGTGAATCACTATATATAAATAAACATTTTAAAATGTTACTGGTTGAATGGAAATGTTTTCACTGTCAGAGTTCAAGGTTGGTTTGATTTATGTGCACTGAATGAAATTCGTATCATATGTCCTCTTTGTTTAGCACGGGTAATATCCCAAAACACTAAGACCCAGATCCACAAAAAGGCTTACAGGTAAGGGGACATGAGTAGTCCGTAATGTAGTCCGTAAATCCCAGAGTACTCTTTGCAAAATCTGTGTCTCACTTCAGAAAGTCAGTAGGTAGATTCTCTTATTAATAAACTTCCTTTAGAGACTAGGCAATGTCATCCTTGGTCAGGCAGACCAGCTTGCCACCTAAACTTATCTAACATTGATTCCCAGCTGAGTATAAATGGACGCTCTGATGGTTTAGGAGGACAAGGATCAGAGTGCAGGCTGCCCTTTACTAGCTGGTTACCTTAATTCCTGGACCACAGAAGTATTCTCTGTCTTGGTGTGTCTGCGACTTCTGTGCTTGCACACTGCTGCAAAGGGTAAAAACTATCTCTTGCTGTTTTTTTTTTGGTTGGCCTACTCTAAGCAAGTGAGGAATATGGCTTTAAATCCTCTCAGTCTATGCAGGCTAACACACTCAGTTCTCTTACTTGCTAAGTCTTTTCACCTCACGTTAAGTTATTACAGAATATTTTAAAAGAAAAACATAACTAAAGTCTCTAGGTTAACTTATGTGAGCTGATCTGAAACCAGATCTTGAGTTGCAAATCCCAATTTCATATATGCAACTAATGTGAATCTATAGAAAGTCACATTTGGGAAAGATATAGAATTTTAAACATTATAATTCCCTTCTCCATCTCCTTCTGGCTGATACGGCTGTTTCCCAGCCCACTGTGCTAAATTCTCTGAGCACCCTGCAGGAAAGCCAGAGTTGTGACTCCCAGCTGGAGAATTAGGCTTAGAGATGCCAGCTCAGTCTTTTTCTGCATCTGGTCCTGCCTTGCACAAGTGTTTCTCTCATCTCCCTGTAGTATTCAGCTCAATGACTTAAACAGTGTATGTCAGATAAATGAGTACAGGTATTTTGCAGGTTATTACAGATAGACTTGTGGCAAGTGTATTTGTAGGAAGTGTAGCAGACTAGTTCTGGAATAATTGCTGATAAGAACATAAGATGGCATGACTTGGAAAGACATGTTGTATTTGTGAATAATACTGAAAGCACCATATGCTGTTTAGATGGTTCCAGATTCATA